GGGTGAAGGAGGTGATTTGGCTGAGGAGGCTGTTGGAGGAGATTGGCCAGGAGCAAAAGGTTGCTACGCCGCTGTTTTGTGATAGCAAGGGAGCTCTTGGGATGGCCAGGAACGCTGTGCTTCATGGGCTGAATAAGCACATGCGTATCAAGTGGCACTGGCTGCGTAAGGAGGTGAAGAGGGGGACGGTGAATCCGATCTACATCAAGACTCACCAGCAGCCAGCAGACTTCCTCACCAAGAGGCTTGCGGATGAGTCTCATTGGCGTTGTGTGCGCATGAGTGGAATGAGCATGAACTAGTATGGAATGATGGGGATGCAGCCGGCAGGCTGAGGGGGAGTGTGTTGGGTGCAAATTCACATTGCACGACATCCTGCCGTCTGTTTGTACGAGTATACGTGTGCGAATGCATTTGCGTGTGAATGGTATGTTCGTGTGTTTGTTTGCTTTCGCAATTTTCGCTTGAAGCATTTGCAGGTACTCGCAAAATGTGCGCTGCGGCAAAACATTGTACGCGCTATGAACAGTACAAGCAGAAAGGACGAGCTCGCAAAGGAACCCAAGATGGAAGCTTTGCGGTTCAACTTACTTGATTGCGCAGATTCAGTTCTATCCAACTCGAAATTGTACTGTTTTGTTTGGTTGACTATAGTGTAGCAGGGCAGGCACTATAGGGGTACAATTTAGGTGAAGGTTGGATGTTGTTTGTCTGTATCTGCATGCTACAGGGCCAGGGGAAACCAGCGGAACCAGCATTTGGCTGGTTGGGCAAAGACAAAACAGGTTCTGTTTTTAGGACCTGAACCTGGTTGTTGTTTTCCCAGGTTGGAAAAACAGAACCAGAGGTTGTTCACCAACCTATCACCTGCTATTTTGTCCAGCCATGTTGGTTCTGTTGCTTGGAATTATTTGGGATCATCCCTGGTTGTTCCCAGGTTGATTCCCAAGGTCCTTGCTAGCTAGAGCTATTTATTCATTCTCTGTTTGTACCTGAACATAGTGAAATTGATTCAAGCGAATTCCTTCCTTGCTGGAATTTCTTGTCTACGCGGTGCGACGGCAGAATGCTACCCGAGTCAACGCTAGTACGCTAGCACTCCAACGCTAGGCTAACGCTGTCCGAGCCATAAACTTCGTAATGGCAGAACTTTTCGCGAGGCAACTTGGCTTATTTTAAAGCTCTTAGAGTGAGCTTCGATATAGGAAATTCACTCTTGCTGTTTTGACTAAGTCCCTCTTGATCCCTCTCTCTACAAACTCGGACCCGAGGATAGGGGCTGGTCTTGTACCAGGCACCCAAGGACCCTTGGAGGTGACCCCGAGGAGAGGTTTTAAGTGTGATAAAGTCTTAATAGCTTGAGTTTATTAGGCCCTTACACCAACAGGTGAGGGAGTGTCGAATACCATTCTTCTGCAGCCACAACCCAAACTCCTTGCTCAGGAACTCTCCCCCTCGATCGGTGCGGATTGACTTGACTAGACGGTCTTGTTGCCGCTCCACCATCGGGAACCAATCCGCCTTCAACGTTTCAGCCACGTCGCTCTTCTTGGCCAGCACGTACACCCAAGTCATACGGGTGTAGACGTCAACAATAGTGAGGAAGTACTCAGCTCCAGCAGCTCCAAGCTTCAGGGGGCCCACCACGTCCATCACCACCTCATCAAGTGGTGCCTTAGCCGTTGCCTCCGAACTAGAGAATGGGAAACGGGTGAACTTGGCTTGCATGCACGTCGGGCAGCCAAGTACCTCATCGGGCTCCCCCTTCACACGTATGCCAGCAGCCATCTCATTCTTCACTAGCTGCTGCAAGATGGGCAGGGCCACATGCCCCATGCGCCGATGCAAGGTGAGCCAATCACACTCCCCCGTAGGCGAAGTTGGATTGGAGAATGCCGCGCTCGCAATAGCGCCCCACATACTCTCTCCGTAGTCCTCCTCCGCTGTTGCCTCGGGGTTCTCCTCACCCTTTTGCTGCTCCTTGGTTGCTGCACCACTCTCCTTAGGTTCACTGAACTTGCTGGTCCCTCCAAGATTGCACTTCTTGGACTCCTTCTCCTTAGCGCGACCGTCCGCGCAATCGCCGCTACCAACCGCTCCACCTTTAGTGCTGACGCTTGCTGCCACTTGCCTCTCCTTAGGCATTGGGACCACAGGGATCTGCCACATCTCGTTGTAGACATCTCTGTCCTCATGGAGGTCCCAAAGAATCCGATCGCCAAGCCTTGCGGTGTAGGTCTTGGCTCCCTTCGAGTTAGTGTCCATGCCGGCCTTTGCCAACCGCCGCACGGAAATCAGGTTTGCAGCAAGGCTGGGCACCCAAAGCACGTTCTTGAGGCCCACCATCTTCCCATCAGCACCCTTGAACATGGCCTTCCCCATGCCTTTCACCTCTGCTCGCTGCCCCAAAGCCGATGTGACATGCTTCACCGGTGACGGCTCGAGTTCGGTGAGCAAGTCCGGGCGAGGTGTCATGCTATAGGTAGCGCCACTATCAATCACCCAATAGTCCAGGGGGTGTAGGGTCACCTTCCCCACAGCTGCTGGCTCCTCAAAGCCTTCATCCTTCTCTGGACCAGCCGGTACTTGCGTCGACACGAAGTAGAATAGACCCGGGTATCGATCGTCGCTCGGGTCCTTGTTGTTGTCTCCGCTCTTCATGTTTGCAGCTCCGCCACCGCGACCGCCACGGCCTCCACGGCCTCTTCCTCTCCCTCCTCCTGCTCCTCTACCCTCTTGGCCTTGAGCAGGGGTCCAACCATCAGGGAGTTTGTAGCAGTCGCGCCACATGTGTCCGCTCTTGTGGCAATAGTGACACTCGCCGTCGAATCGGCCGCGACCGCGTCCGTAGTTCTTCTCGTCGCTGCCGTAACCGCCACTCCCACGGCCTCCGCCGAAGTTGCTGCCACCAAACCTTCCTCCCCCTCGTCCTCTGCCTCTTCCTCGACCATATCCACGGCCGATGCTCGCTGCCCCAGCGCCATCCGCACTCGCCAATTCACGGCGGCGGAAATCCTCTTGAAGGATAGCTCGCTTCACGTCTTCAAGCGAGAGGCGGGGCAAGTCACGATTAAGGTTGATGATGAGCGAGGACCATGACTCCGGGAGTAGGGCCAGCAACTTGGTCTTCTTTTGGAGCTCACTATAGTTCAAATCAGCTCCCTCAAGCCGCGTCAACAAGTCGAAGAATTTCTGCACCCCTTCTTCAACCGCTTCATCCTCTTCAATTCGTAACGTCGCCATTTGCCGTTCCAACACCACAGCTACCGCCGCTGTTGCAGGAGCGTGTACACCCTTGAGAGCAGCCCATGCTTTTGGTCCCTTCTCTGGTTCACGCTGGAAGGGCTTGATGTGACGGATTTGGCTGCTCCCCAACGCTTGCCCAAGTAGGAGGTAGCCTTGTGCGCTCTTCCGCACCCACGGGCTCTTCTCCGGGTCGTTCTCGGGACGCTTCTCCGTTCCTTCCATCACCTCCAGCAGGTCATAGTGGTCAAATATGTTCTCCATTCTGAAGGACCACTCAGCAAATTTGTCACCATTGAACTTGTCAAGGCCAAACACTCTAGGCTCATCCCTAGATGGGCCAACACTTGGTTGCACGGGCGCCATGGCTAAGTCACGGGGTTGGCCTTGAGCTTGGGCTTCTCCTCTGCCACCAGCACCTTTGCCACCCCTTTCCTCAGGTCCAGCCATTGTCGAAACTGTTCCGAGGGGCTCTGATACCACTTGTTATAGTCACAGTAGGCTCCAATGTGCCTAAAACGAAAGATAGAGTGCACAGTCGGATTTCTGCACAGCGGCTTCAAACGTTCATAGCGTTTTGGTCACAGCTTCAAATGACTTGATTCAACTTGGATCTGGAGCGCCTTATTGTCGCCTACAATAGGCAATTTAGATCGCACGATTTGACCAAGTATTGACGACACAGGGTTGGTTTGAACGAACGGCGCTATGGCAGCCACTATGGTCTTAGAACACAAGATAGGAAGAGTTAGGAAGAGTTACGAGTTGGGAATGACTCCCAGCTCCTACAAACCCCAAGAGCCGAGGTACAGTGATGTGGAACAGTGCCACACTGTCCCCAACCACGAAGGGTCTCGAAACTACCCTTCACTAGGGCCTACACCAAGTGAAATGTTACACTACACAAAGTAATGTAACTATCTTCAATATCTTGAGGTGTACCCTTTTGGCGAGCTTTGAAATCACTTGTGGATTGACACCAAGGCTCGGCTCTTCATCACAAACTCATCCTTGAGTTCTTCATGGGTCTGCTGCACACACCTGCGACACACCGAACGTTCGACACAGGACAAAAGAGAAACCGCGCACGACAAAATAGAAACCGCGCGCGAGACATAAACGACCACGTAACACGCGTCTAGCGATAACTCGCTATTGACTCGACACATACACTCGACATCATGACTCAACATTCACACACAATTATAAGCATTAAATATATATTATCCCATGCCCTCATACCATTCCATAGACACACACACATGCACGCACACGGACAACAAGCCGAGTGCAAACCATAGGGTTGCACCAACACCCCCCACCACCAACAGTCTAGGTCTCATATCTGATGCGATGTCACATGCTCTTTGACTGCGCTGCTCTTGCCATCGGACTCATCTCCCTCATTCTTCCCTTTCACCCTCTTTCCGCCCCCCTCTCCCTCCACCACCACCAGTCTGGGTCTCATATCAGACGCGTGTCACATGCTCTTCGACTGTGCTGCGCTCGCCATTGGCCTCTATGCCTCCTACATTTCCCGCCTCGACTCCCCCTCCAAATTTGCCTACAGGTTCGTGAATATCTTTTCAAGAATTTGAGACCGTTCAGTTTCTTTTTGCTAGGTTTCCAGTTCAGGTGACCTGTTCAGGTGATGGCATGGCACGCTCTCTTGATGTGATCTGAAGTTGGCTTCTTGGCATTGTTCGGTGTCTGTGTTGGATGCTGCATGGGTGTGTGTCCCATCGTCTCCGTTAACCATGCTTTGTATCATCCCATCCCACCCGCTCCCATCGTCTCCATCTGCTCGGCTCCTCGCCTGCAGCTACGGTCGCTTTGAGGTGCTCTCGGGCTTTGTGAATGCGGTCTTTCTCGTGCTCATCGCTGCACTCATCGTCTTTGAGTCCATTGAAAGGTGCGCCTTCGATCATGCAGGAGATTTTTCAGAATTTTCAAAACGTCCTGCTATCGGGCTGAATGCAGCCTTCCTAGTGCTCTGCTCATCGCCGCACTCATTGTCTTGGAGTCCATTGAAAGGTGCGCCCTCTTTCTGTCCATGGCTCTGTTTCTCCCAAACTGATGCGTGTTTCTTGCTTTAAGTCAAACCAACAGCTTGATTATTTCAGAGCCTGCTTTAGAGCTCGCTTTTGAGCGTGCTTTAGAGCCTCAATCCTGCCTTCCTTTCTGTCTAGATCCTGGCTTCTTCACCCTCTTGCCTTCCTCTTGTTGTCCCTTCTCGCTCCCTCTTTCTCGCTCCAGAATCCTGGACCCACCAGACATATCAACAGCGAACCTGCTGGCAGTGTCTGTGGGAGGCCTGGTGGTGAACATGGTGGGACTCGTGTTCTTCCATGAAGCCCACCACCACGCACACGGAGGCAGCTGCTCGCACTCCCACTCCCATGACCACTCCCACTCGCATGCACATGCGCATGACCACTCCCATTCTCATTCTCAGCATGGGCATGAGCATGAGCACAAGCATGAGCATGGGTATGCCCATGGTGGGCCGTGCTCCCATTCCCATCATGACGACCATCATTATCATCATCATCACGAGCATCAAGACAACCATGCCCATCATGTTCATGATGACCATGATCATATGCATGACCATGGGCATGACCATGGGCATGATCATATGCATGATCATGGGCATGGATATAAGCATGAGCATATGCATGGCCATAAGCATGACCATGGGCATGGGCATGGGCATGATTGCCAAAGACATGAGGACCGGCATGACCACCACAAGCCTCTTCATCGTCATAAGGATATGCATGGATGCAACCATGGGCATGGGCATGGGCATGAACATGGGCATGGGCATGGGCATGGGCATGAGCATGGAAACGGGCATAGGCATGAGGGGGAGGGTGCAGAAGGAGGGGACAACTGGGAGCAAGAGAATTGGGAAGATGCCAAGAGCAACATCACCATGACCACTAGATCACTCTTACAATCACCAATCTCGGTATCATCACCTTCGTTTGAGTCACCAGCGCTGCCATCGTCAGGGGCAGAGAAACTTTTGGCCGTGCACAAAGCGAGGAGGAGAATAGGCGAAGGGGGTGCTGCTGCAGGAGGAGATTAAAGTTTTCACGCGCTGCCCGTGAGGCTGGATTTTGAGGAGTGGGCAGGAGAAAGCAAGTCGGATTGGGAAGGAAAGTCACACAAACAGGAGCATGGGCATGAGCATGGGCATGAGCATGGGCATGAGCATGGGCATGAGCATGGGCACGAGCATGGGAATGGGCACTCACTTGAGCTTGAGCATGCTTATGAGAGTAAAGCCATGCCTCATGATCCCTCATGCTCATCGCTCAGCATGGATGTAGGAGGAGGGGATGGGCATGGGCATGGGCATGAACATGGACACAGGCATGGGGAGGTGGGAGCTGGAGATGGGGAGGGAGGAGAGGCATGTGTGCAAGAGGTGCTCACATCCGGCAGTGCTCATGTGGACCACAACATGCATGGTAGGCTCTCCGCTCTTTCTTGCTCCCCACATGCTGCTTCGTTTCCTCTAGTCATAATCGCTCGTGTTCTCCTTCTATCCCTTTGCTCCTGCTGCCCAGCACTCACTCTCGAATCCTTCCCACCCATCGCCTCCTTGCAGGAATCTTCCTGCACGTGTTGGCAGACACACTGGGCAGTGTGGGGGTGGTGATATCAACGCTGCTCATCAAGTACAAGGGATGGATGCTCACAGACCCGGTGAGGAGTGGACTGCAGGCAAATGGGTAAGGGAAAGGAAATACAGGGACACATGCTGGCAGATGGGTAGTTCCTTGCACATGTTTTTAGAAGCCTTCCTTCCTCCCAAACATCTGCAGCCGTCTCTTTGCTCGCCTTTTCCCACTCAATTCCACTTCGCGCCTCCCTTTCCACTCTCTCCCCTCCCTCCACACCACCACCAGGCGTGCTCCATATTCATATCAGCGCTCATCATCAGCACTGGCATCCCTCTGCTGCAAAACTCAGCCGAAATTATTTTGCATAGAGTACCTCGGGCAGCTGAGCACCAAATTTCGGCTGCCCTGAAGAAGGTGAGCAGTAGGCTTAGAAAACCTTAGCGCTTCCATCTAGATGCATCTAGGCTTTCAAAAGCACCTCCTGGGTCTCGTGATTGTCCTGGACTTGATTTTTCTTCGTGCTGCACGCCCCATTCCATGCCCCATACCCCACACCCTTTCCTTCTCAATCAAATGCTCCACGTTTTTCCAAATGCTCGAACCATCATCCCATTTCCAATAGCAGATCGAGACGATGGCAGGAGTGGTGGCGGTGCGGCAACGGCACTTCTGGTCCTTCACTCCCAAGATGCTAGTGGGCTCCATTCACGTGCTCATCTCTCCAGATAGCCTCAAAAATAGGGCCAAGGAGGGAGCTGCAGCGGCGCATAACGGAGATGCTTATAGCGATTTTCTAACTCCCACCTCACTCCCTCTCTCACTCTCTCTCTCACTCCCTCTCATTCCCTCACTCCCTCCCCCTCTCACCCAGTCAAACCCCAGCAGGAACTCAAGCCTGGCCAGGCACCCCCGCCCTCCCTCTCATGTCTGCCTCACTCGCTTCCATCTCTCTTTACTCACTCGGCTCCACACTCCCACCCCCCACTCACCCAGTCGAACCCCAGCAGGTACTCCAGCCCCGCCAGGCAGTCAAGAGAGGGGTCTGCCTGCACTGCAGCACTATCAACACCACCCTCCCTCTTAGTCCCTCTCGCCCTCCTCACTTCCCTTTCCCCCACACACCCAGTCCAACCCCAGCAGGTACTCCAGCCCCGATAGGCAGTCCAGAGAGGGACCCGCCTGGAGCATGCCATCTACCACCCTCCCTCTTAGTCCCTCTCGCCCTCCGCACTGCCCTCTTTCTCACTCACCCAGTCCAACCCCAGCAGGTACTCCAGCCCCGCCAGGCAGTCCAGGGAGGGGTCTGCCTGCAGCACAGACCGCACCATGCCAGCTGGCGCGCTCCCATTGGCCCGCTGCGCGTGCGAGAAGAGGCCGCCAATGATTCCTACGAGGGGGGCGAGCACCATGGGGCGAGACGATTGGTCGGATGGGGACACGTGGTCCTGCAGGACACTGCAGTTGAGGAGTGAGAGAGGGAGGCAGAGGGAAGTGGAGGGAGATAAGGAGGGAGGGAGGGAGGGAGGGAGGGAGGGAGGGAGGGAGGGAGGACGAGAAGGACATGAGGGGATGCCTATGAGGGGTGCGAGCGAGCACCATGGGACAGGAGGAGCGGTCTGATGGGGACGCGTGGCCCTGCACGAAACTGTGGTGAGTGCAGGGCATTGGGAGATGGGATGGAACAGTGCAGGATGGCAACGCTAAACCATGGGTGGAGCGAGCACTGTGGGGCTGGAGGGGGCGGTCCAATCCTTGCCTCAACCCTCCTCACCTCACCTCACCTCACCTCACCTCACCTCACCTCACCTCACCTCACCTCACCTCACCTCACCTCACGATTCAACCTGTTTTTGTGGAATTTGACCCATCAAGAGCGCGTGCATGAGCACCCGAGCACGTGTGGTTGAGGATGAAGAGCACGTGTGGTTGAGGATGAAGAGCACGTGTGGTTGAGGATGAAGAGCAGCAGCTCAAACAGCCGCATTCGGTTCATCTCAGGATCTAGAGAGCCGTCCGATGCAGAGGAAGCAGGGGATGCAGACGGAGCAAGGGATGTGGAGGAAGCAGGAGTGGTGGCAGGTGCAAGTGCTGTCATTGCTTCTCCTTCAGCTTCAATGGACTCTCTTCCTCCCTCTCCCTCGCCCTCAGTGACTAGCTCCACCCTGGCCCTGCTCCCCTCTTCTCCTCCTGAAACTCCTTGCATCTCTCCTTCACCTCCTCCTTCTCCTCCCTCTCCTCCTCCTCCGCAGCTGCTGCTGCTCCTCCTGCTTCACCCCCTTCTAGAGCCTTCTCCCCTTTTTCCTGGCCCCCTCCCCCCTTCAAAGAGAGAAACACCTCCGGAGAAGCCTCACAGAGAACTTCCAACAGCCTGGCGAGGTTACAAGTAAGGTCAAACATGACGCTGCACTTGCGCTGCTGCAGCTCCCACGCCTGCTGCTGCTGCTGCTGCTGCTGCTGCTGCCGCCGGTTCCGCCGCCACCGCTGCTCCTCCTGCTGCTGCAAGTCCTGCACCTCTTTCAGCGCCACTAGGAATTCTGTAAGAGTCCAGTTGAGTGTGTTGAAAAGGCGGTTGAAGAAAGGAGAGAAGAGGCTCGGATGGTGCAGGTACAACTGGTGGAGGGAGTGCTGGAAGAGAGGCGCGAAGAGGGAGGGCGTGGAGGAGGAGGAGGAGAGGGAGAGCGAGGGGAAGCTGGAGGGGCCTCCAAAGGGGTTGCTCACACAGAGACGCAGGAGAATCTGGGTGGTGGGTGGGGGAGAGAGGTGCGAGGTGGTTGTGTATCAAAGGATCAGAAGGCGAATCTCCTGGAGGCGTGAAATGGGTTGAAAGAAATTGCTGAGCGGTGAAAAAGAGGAGGAGCATATGCGTGAAGGCAATGGGGAGTCACCTAGGAGACAGAACCCTCCTGAGAGGCAGAGACACCTGAGGAAATACCTGAGAGACGGGTATCCAGAAGCGCTGGTCAAATGCGTTGAGAAGGCTGGGCATGAAGCACGTGCAGGCGGCCTTGTTTGTCTCTAGTGCGACGGAGAAGGGCGGCAGCTGTAGCAGCACGGAGAGCGTCTGCAGGAGCTGGTCTCTGGTGTCTGGATTGGGGATCCTTGCATCGCTGAACCGCGTGAGCAGGAAAGATCTCTGCGAGGGAGAGTTAGACACATGCACGCACGCACAGGGCATTAGAGAGTGGGAGTGTAGAATGGGGTCTTTTCCTGTCTTGAAGACAGAAGGAGGGGTATGCGCAATAGCGAGAAAGTCGGGTAACGGGATGAAGATTCGAAGAGGGGGAGGGGATCAGGGTGAGAGGGCATGCAGGTGCAACCATGCCGGTGCAGGTGCAGGTGCAGGTGGTAAGAGGGTCAAGCCTGATGGATGTTGTCGGGCTTATGAAGGGAGCGAGGTGATGCACGGAGTGGCGGAGTCGGAAGAGTGGTGGGTCGCAGTGCCTGAAGGCATGGAAGGCCTCGATCTGTAGGGGCAAGCGACATGAAGGACACGGCGACATGAAGGACACGGCGACATGAAGGACACGGCGACATGAAGGACACGGCGACATGAAGGACACGGCGACATGAAGGACACGGCGACATGGGGGACACGGCGACATGGGGGACACGGCGGCATGGGGGACACGGCGACATGGGGGACACGGCGACATGGGGGACACGGCGACATGGGGGACACGGCGACATGGGGGACACGGCGACATGGGGGACACGGCGGCATGGGGGAAAAGGGGTGCGGGAAGAGGGGCGGTGGGAAAGGTGGGAGAGAAGGGGTGAGGGTTGCGGAAGCAGATGGAGGGATGAAGAGAAACGAGTCAAAAGATGCGCCATCCCCAGACCATGGCAGCAGATAAGGGTAGATTCGACCCAGATCACCAGACTTAGCTCGTCCTATTCTCCACTAATCTATGCTAGGCTCGGTAGGGATTAAGTAAGCAAGGAAACTGTCATTCCAAGACTGAGCGTACGCGTGTTTCGGCCGATGGCCTTCGTCAGCGCTTCAGACAGCAACCCGCCTGGCTTCCAGAACCCCTCAGGCACATAGGCAAAGATGTGGCCCCGCTTGCTGGCAGGCAGCAGCAGCTAGTTCCACTCTTCTCTACCCCACACCATGATCACACAAGACAGTATCCCATATGCCCTCAACATAGACAGCAACGCACCATTGCTTCCAAATAGACCTCGGGCTCGTAGGCAAAGATGTGGCCCCTCTTGCTGGCAGCCAGCAGCAGCGAGCCCACCCTCCTGCTCACCCCCACCAGCGCCCTCTGCTTCCACGTAGCACCGCCCAGCACCACTCTCCACCACACTGCAAGCCTCACACTCTCATCCACGTCCTCTCGGAACACCTGCCTCGCCTCCCTCAGCTGCTGCGCCCGCACTGACCCTCCCACGCCCACTCTGGATGTACCTCCCCCGGATGTACCTCCCCTGGCTTCAGCCGCAGCTGTACCTCCCCCCGGTGCTCCAACAAGTCCCACTGTTGCTGTCACTGCGGGTGCCTCCGCCCCTACTGCTGCACCAGTGCCTGCAGCACCCACGACAGCCCCCTCTTCTTCCCCTGCCACTCTCCTTACTCCTGCCGCCGCCCCCGCCCCCGCCCCCCCCCCCCCTGCCCTTGCCCCTGCCCCTGCCCCTGTCCCCGCCCCCGCCCCCGCCACGGACCCTGACCCTGTCGCCGCCACTGTGCCTGCCTCTCCGTCTGTCCCAGCTCCCTCCGTGCGCCCCCCCATGGCAGCAGCTCCCTCCGTGCGCCCCCCCATGGCAGCGGCGATCTGCCTGTCCGCATCTTCCAGCTGTGCCACCGCCTGCACCATGCCCTGCTGCTGCAGCGCCGCCTGGGGAGGGTTGAAGCGGGAGGCGGAAGGGAGGGGAGGGAGCGGAGGGAAGGGAGGATGGAAGGGAAGGACAAGAAGGCAAAAGCCTGCAGACGAGAGGAAAGGAAAGGAGATGGGGAAGGGAGACAAGGAGGGTGCAGTGGCAGCGGGCCGCAGGAGCAGCCAACAGCATGAGTATAATGGCCTGTGAGGCACTCACGTGATACAAATAACATTTTGAGACGTCTCAACATGTTACTTCTATTTTGAGTCGACCCAAAACAGGTCTCAATATGTTACTTTTATCAAGCAGCCAACAGCATGAGTATTATGGCCTGTGAGGCACTCAGACTGACTGACTGACTGACTGACGGACCTGTTTGAAGGCACCAGCGCCCCTGAGGTGGGACAGCAGCACGGCCATGTCCAGCAGAAGCACCTCCCTCTCATCCTCCTCCCCCTTCCCCCTCTCCGCCTTCTCCTCAACCCTCTCCTCCCCCTCACGTTCTCCATCCCCCTCACTCCTCCCTCCTCCCATTTCCCTCTCTTGCACCCCCTCTGCTCTCCTCCCCCCGCCTGCTCCCCCTCCTTCCCCTGTACCTCCTCCCCCCGTCCCCCGCTCCTCCCTTCTCCTCTCCTCCGTTCCCCCACCCGCCTCCCCCTCCCCCTCCTCTCCCGCGGCCCAATGATCATCATCCACGTCATCATCACTCCATGCCACGCTGGCAAAGTCCTGGAGAGCGGAGAGGGGGAAGGTCTTGGCCACGTGGCTGAAGAGCCCGCCCAGTCGTGGCAAGTCAAAGTAGTGCAGGTCTGGGTGTAAGAAGAAGGCCACAGGAAACTTCCACCGCCCATGACGCTGCAGGTAACCACCTGCAGGGATGGCGGCATTGGTGTCAGCAGTGTCTGCGCTGCTGCTGCTGCTGCTGCTTCCCAAGGCACTGCTTACCTCTTGCCTCTCCCTCCACTTGCTCCTTGTGGCACCTGAGGGAGCTCTCGCCCATGGCAGCATTGATACCTCCTCGCTCTCGTCCTCCTCCTCTTCTCCTTCGCCCTCCTCTCGTTCTTCTTCTTCTTCCTCCTCTGCCCAAGCCCTTCTCTCCGCCTCCCCCCCACGTGTATGCTCCCTCTCTGTCTCCCCTACATGCAAGTCCACATCCATTCCCTCTGCTTCGCCCTCCCGTCCACTCCCTTCCCCCCTTGCTTCGCCCAGCCCCTCTCCTCTTTCACCCCTCTCAACCCCTGCTCCTAACCCGCCCACACCTCCTGACCCTCCTACGCCCTGTGACCCTCGCCCCAGCTCTCTTTGTCTTCTGGAATTTCCCGGATCCACGTCCCACCAGCCCTGCCCACAACAGCCGCAAGAGAACAAAAAACGCCGTCACCAGACTATCCGAAAGCCCGGGCGGCACAACATTCCTGTTCGCCGCCCGGTTGTTGCGGATCCAGGCTCCTCAAAAACGGAGCAAGCACGCCACCCGTCGCAAGCGAGTAAATCGAAGAACTCCCGGTCATGCTCTTAGAGGGGACAAAGAAGAGGAGTGAGCGGCAGAGAGACACTTGACAGAGCTCCACCCCAGACATTGCCTTCACAAGCGCCTTCTTGCTTTCTTCCAAGGCTGCTTCACTGCAGTCGTCCTCCTTACAGCCAGCCCACCACAGCGAGGGAAACAGCCTCTGCAGATCCACCCTCGTGGCTACTCTGCGTGTCAGAAATGCCTCTAGATTGGAGGAGAATCCGTCTGCCGCCCACCATGCGCTAAGTAACTCGTTCCGCTTAGCTAGGTGGGAGGCGAGGGATAGGTACGGGTACGGATCCCGCCCCTCTTGCCAAACCTCTGGAGGTTTTCCCGAGCCGGAAACTGCTTCTTTTCCTGCACCGGCTAGGTTCGGCACTGTGACCGCCGCCGAGCCTACAAGGGAGGTTCGGGAGTGGAAGGCTAGGGCGTCCATTAAGGTCGGGATGATCCCGGACCACTCATGGTCCTCCAGACACAGGTGTAGCGAGTCCATTACTTGGTCCACCATCCTCCACCCTTGCTGCTTTTGCTGCTGCTGCTGCTGCTGCTGCTGCTGCTGCTACTGCTGCTGCTGCTGCTGCTGCTGCTGCTGCTGCTGCTGCTGCTGCTGTAGGCTGTTTCTGTTTGCACCCTGCTTCCCCCCACCTGTGACTAGCCCCTCTCTGGGCGCCAGTTGGAAGAGTAGAGGAAGCAGGGAGGTCCATACAGCGTACCCCCCTCGCACTGACCCCACACCCTCTCCCACTCCTCCCCCTACCTTGCCATCCCCCGCCCTCCTCCCCATCTGCCTCTGCACCTCCATTCGCGCCCCCCCTGCCAACAGCAACGGCCCGAGCCTCTCGCAAAGCAGCTTCGCCAGGAGAACCTCATCATCGGGGCCTAGCGGACAGGTTTGAAACGGCAGGCTCGGTGGCAGGCTGTCGGGGAGCGAGGAGGAGGAGGTATGTGGAACAGGGGAGGAGAACGAGGAGGGGAGGGAAGAGGGAAGGGAGGTGAGGTGCAGCAGACGAGAAAGGCAGTGGAGGAGGTAGGAGGAGCACGCAGCTGCATCCAAATCAGCAACACGAGGGGCACCTGCTGCGCTGTCTGCTGTGCGTAGATGGGAGTGCGGGTGGGGCGAGGTGGGTTGCAGGGTAGGCAGGAGGAAGTGGCCCACGTGGGTGGGGAGTGAGGCAGGGTCGATGGGAGACGGAGGCGAATGCACGGGAGCAGCAGCAGCAGCACTGTCGGTAGGGGCAGAAGCCGCACCAGCAACATCTGTAGCAGCGGGGGCAGCAGTAGCAGCAGCCGTGGCAGCAGCCGTGGCAGCAGCATCCACTGCAACTGTAGCAGCAGAGGGCATGGACCAGCACAGGCGAGGCGGCGACTGCAGCGGGAGGAACCTGGTAACCGGGTAACGAAACGGGCGGGCACCGAAGTTAAGCTGACAGCGCTCCCCGTGGGAGATTGAGATGGCTGGGAAATAGGCGAGGCCCCTCTGTAGCGCCTTCACTCCTGTGAACGCCAGACACTCCCCGTTGCGGTAGAATGTCACCTTCCCCACTGCTGTTCCACCAGCTGCCCTACCGGCAGCACCAGCAGCAGCACCGCCAGCACCACTACTTCTGCCACCACTAGCACTAGCAGGAGGACCACCAGCACCAGCACCACCAGCACCACCGGCAGCAGCAGCGGCTTTCGAACCTGCACCCCCCCCACCTCCCACCACACCGCCATCCCCCTCCAGGTCAATACAGCACCCAATCACATCATGAGCCGCCCACGGCTGCCCATACTGCGCGGACCACCCACTCCACTTCCGCACTCTCTTCCCATCAAAAGCATACGAGTCGGGCGCGTCCCCACGCCCTCCTCTGCCGTGAACGGACATGCCAATGTCGCCCAGCCAATCTGCTGAATGCCGGAGGAGCCTAGAGTTGCCTCGTACTGCCACCTGCCCGAGTAGACGCACACATTGGCGCGCGCGCTGCTGAAACTGCTGAGGGATTCCAGAATCAGGCCGCCTCCTAGGTCCTCTCGTGCCCTGCCTCTGCCTCTTGACCGGCCCCCTGCTGCTCCCCTTCCTGATCCTCCTCCTGCTGCTGCTGCTCCCGCTCTGCCCAGGGACTCTAGCAACAACCCTTCCCATCCTACCCCCCCGCCTCCACCTCCCCCTCCGCCCGCTTCCCCCCCTGCGCCCCCCCCTGCGCCTGCCCACTCGATCCCCTCGATTTCAACCCCCTCCATGTCCTCCTCCGCCCATATGCTCCGCAGCGCCACAGCAGCATCTGCAATACCCCGCCCGCGGCTGCTCCCCACACCCCCACCCTCCGCCTCCCCCTCCGCCCTCCCCCCCGCCCTTTCCGCCGGCCCCCATGGCCCGCCCCCCTCCACTTTAATCTCCCCAGAGAAAGAGCTACGTAGCATGTAGACTATAGGCGGTCCTAATCTGCCTATTAGGCCTTCCGCGGCGGGATTAGTTATGGTATTGCCGACTCGGCTACTCCTGTTACTTGTGCCGCCCAAATCTTGTCGTCTATGAGCTCTAGATTTGCTGATCTTTGCCATCTGCAGATCCAGAAAATCGCTGATACGATTAAGGCCGAGACACCCTCCACGTGTCCATCTCTCACTGGAGGGCGGCATGAGAAGCGTATCCTCGGTATACGTCTCTTCAGTGTTTCGATCCGACATCACGACATCCCCGCTCTCATCCAACGCGTCTCTTCCTTGTCTTATAACGAGCCCCGCTTCCTCCTCCAACCGCCCTGCCGCTTCTTCCGCCGTCGAACGAGCTCCCTTCCCGTCAGTCCCCCCATCAACGTCCCCTCGCAGTATAAAATCCACGGCGGCCTGGAAATCCGCCTGAATTTCCGCCGAGTGTTGCGCGGACACCGCCTCTGGCCCGTGTCGATCCTTTACTCCACAATCGAATTCCTCCAACGTGATAATCTCTAGAAGCGGAGCGGATTGTATCGGGGACGGCGCCAGCAGCTCCGCTAAACCTCTCCGCGAATTCTCCATGTCTAATTGGCGGATGGCAGGCGTGTCTCACTCGCACGGGCTTTGACTCAAAAAATGGATTGGGCGGCTGTGCGTCTCACCCGCACGTGCACTGCTGTGAGCGCAATGAGGCTCGAGAAGAAGACGTACCGTGGATGGAAATGACGAAGGCTGAAGGAAGGATGAAAAGCCAGGAAAGCCACGAGGAACGAGAGGCACCGCAAGGCAAGGCAATACAGATGCAGAAGCAAGGATAGCTTACGGTGGTGCTCCGTGCGGAAATCGAGGAAAACCCGCGTTCATTCTCCCCGTCAAATCTCTCATCAGCCGAATTCAGGGTTGCAGGAAGGGGGAAATGTGTGTTCGCGGAATGTGTCATGTGTAAGTGTCTCCTTTAGTATCCAGTGCTTATAGATAACATAAAGGTTGTCTAGTTATCTTATTTCACAGCCAAAACAATCCCTTCACAACTTCGAAATGTCAAAGGCATTCATCGTAGCACAATAAAACCAGTAACAGTTACGTCTGAACATTGTATTTATCTCTCCTGAACAGGTTCTCTATAACCATCATCATCATTTCGCATTTATTCTGTCTGATTGCAGATTGCCAGTAACAAGCAAGGTGTTACGAGTGCAATTGAGTGAACGAACGAGAATTGCACTATCGAAGCAAGAGTACAATGAGCAAAGGCATGAGCGAAGAATATATAGCGAAACTACAGTGGTAACGTTAATGGACACAGCGGAATGAGTTGTGTTGACAGAATTGGGGTACATCACCTAACCCTAACTAGTTGTACCCCATATAGCCCAACCCACTACAGGCTATAATATTTGACACACCCCCATAGCCTAAGTGGGGAAGACCAATCAACAACAAGCAACCTACGGTCACAAGACCAGTCAAAAACAAGAGAAAGAAAACAAAGCTCAGGGTGGATCACAACGTCACCACCTAATCTGAGCACTAGCAAAGGGCCACAAGGCCAGTCCAAAAGTGTGCAAACAAATATATATATATATATATATAAGGTACAAGCAAGCAACAGACAAAGAGCACCCTACAGCAGTCAACTAGACCCAGTCTCAACGAGGCCTAACTGCAGACAAAACCGACGGTGGTCACAAGGCTGGAGGGCCTTGGTGAAGATGTCTGCAGTGTTGGCCTCGGAGGCCACAAAGTCCAGACGAGCCTGTCCGCGTCTCTGCAACTCTCGAAGGAGGAAGTACCTGACGTCGATGTGCTTCACTCGGCTCTCCAGTCGAGGCTCACGACATAGGAGAATCATCGCCCTGTTGTCAGCAAACAGGGTTGGTGCAGAGCTCGGCCGCTCACCAAGGTCAGTGAGCAAAAAGGTCAACCAGCGTAGCTCCTGAGCAGCAAGGGCCCCAGCGTAGATCTCGGCCTCTGCGGTAGAAGTCGCAACAGAGGAGGACCGAGTAGACCTCCACGAAACAGCTCCAGAACCCAGGCTGAAACAGTAACCCTGCGTAGACCTCTGAGTCTCAACGTCGTCAGCGTAGGAAGAGTCACAGTGACCGGTGAGTACAACTGGCTGTGTCCCTCCAAGTACAAGCCCCATGCCTGATGTCGCGCCAAAGTACTTCGCCACCCTCTTAGCCGCCGCCCTGTGAACAGGACGGTGTCTCCCAGTCGCAACAAAGCGAGACAGGATGCTAAGGGGGAAGGCGAGGTCCGGGCGAGTGCACGTCATCAGGTACATGAGGCAGCCCACCAGCTCTGCGTAGGGACCACTGGGCTCGAGCGGCTCGTCAGGAAAAGGCCCAGTGAGACTGTGGTCTACAGCAAGAGGAGTGGGGGCAGGAGAAGAGTCCTGAAGCCCGAACCGCTGAAGAACCTGCTGCACCATGTGTGACTGAGTGAGAGTGATGGTGCGAGCGGCTCTGTCCCTGGAGATCTGCAAGCCAAGGTAGCGGCGCAGTTTCCCAAGGTCAGTGCAGGTGTGTCTCTTCTGCAGTTCGGACTTCACCTCCGCCAGTGCAGCTGTGTCGGCCGTGGCAAAAACCAAGTCGTCAACGTAGACTAGGACGAAGAAAGGTGTACGGCCCCGACGAACAAACAGCGACGGGTCGGCGGAAGACGGCTCAAACCCGAGGTCGGAGAGAGTAGAGCGGAGAGTGTCGTGCCACTCACGGGGTGCCTGGCGGAGACCGTAGACCGGTCGTCTAAGGCTCCACTGGGTCCCAGGCGGGAATGTGCCAGTGAAGCCCGGAGGACGACGCAGCCAGATCTCCTCGTGTAAGCAGCCCTGGAGGAAGGCAGTGGAGAAGTCAAGAGAGTGTAGCTCGTAGTCTCTCTGCGCTGCTACATGCAGTAACACCCGAAGAGTGGTCATCTTCGGGGTGGGCGCGAAGGTCTGAAAGAAGTCAACCCCCTCGCGCTGACTGAACCCTCTAGCCACGTAGCGTGCCTTGAAGACTGGGGGAGATCCCGGCGGCCGCTTCACCTTGAAGATCCATATGCCGTCAACAATGTTCGCCCCTGGGGGGGGAACCTCGTCAACGTAAGTGCCTGTGGACCTGTAGGAGGCCATCTCTGCGTCCATGGCAGCTCTCCAGTGAGAGGCCCAAGGCCCTGACACTGCCTCAGCGTAAGTGCGAGGAGTAGGTATGTCAGGAGCGTCGGGGTCTCCCTCAGGAGTGAGCAGCATGGCACAGAGATGAGGCGAAGCAGCTGCCAGGAACTCTAGCTCAAACTGTCTGTCCTCTAGGACGTCACAGCCAAGGGCACACACACCCCCGGCGGACAGAGGACGGACAGGAGGAGCTGCCACAACTCGAGTGGCGTAGTCAAGGCGACGCGTAGCAGTAAAGTCAGTGACAGCGGCAGTGAGGACCGCGACGGAGGAAGGAGAGGCACGAGGGTCTGTAACAAGAGAGGCGAGAACACGAGAGAGAGTGGGGCGGTACGTGCGGTAGTAGTCACTGACCGGAGTGGACAGGGAGGCAGTGAGGGAAGACTCAGGAGGACGAGGAAGGACAGACGGAGGAGAACGAGGAGGACGAGGACGAAACAACACGGTACGGAGGTCAGTGACAGGGGACGAGGGACGAGCACGAGGAGGGCGAGAGGCCCAAGTGTGGGCGAGAGGAGGGGGGGACGGAGGAGACTGAGAACGAGGGAAGACAGCCGGAGTGGAGTCCGGAGGAGGAAACGTGGGACCGAACACAGGAGGAGAGGAGGGGAGACCAAGGGCCCGAAGGCCAGAAACAGGGGCCGGAGGCTGCTCCGGTAGCTGCGGCGGCTGCTGCTGCTGCTGCTGCTGTGGCTGTGGTTGCGGCTGCTGCTGCTGCTGCTGCTGCTGCTGCTGAAACTCCAACCGCTCACGCTCCACCCGCTGCCTAACCTCCGACCTCTCACGCTCCAAACGCTGCTGCTCCTCACGCTCTAGACGACGAAGGGCCTGGTAACGAGTCGGGTAGGGGTGAGGAGGAGGAGTGGTGTCAGGAGACGACGAAGATGAACCGGCTCCACCCTCGACAGGACCCGGCTGAGCACCCCCAGAGCGAGGACCCCCTGCGGCAGCACGACCAGTACCTGTAGGAGGTGTACCCGCACCCCCAGTCGTGGCGCCGCCAGTGGCACCAGCACCAGCCCCAGACTCTCCAGCTCCAGAAACACCACCAGCTCCAGCACCACCACCGACTCCACAACGCTCGGGACGTGCAGCTGCGGCAGGTGCACGCTCAGCTCCAACTCCAACACCCCCAGAACCAGCACCGCCAGAGCCCTCACCTCGAGCACCAACACCCTCAGAGTCCGCAGTGGCCGGGAGAGGAAGCGCCGACGGCTGCTGCGGAGGCTGTGAGGACGACTGTGGGGAAGGAGGAGAGACCTGGGGGGGGACCAAGGGAGGGGGGGTAGCCTGCGACACACCTGACGGAGCGGGAACCGGGGGGGGGGTACCGGAGGAGAGGGAGCGGGAGGAGGAGGAGCTGGGGCGAGGAAGAGGGGAGGGGGGGGAACCGGGAGACCTCGACAGGGGTACCGGACGAAGTAGGGGACGGACTCGTCGAAACTGACGTCACGAGAGTCAAAGAACCGGTGGGAGGGAGGGTGGTAAAAGGTGAAGTCAGAGGAGGCCTCAGGGAAACCAAGGAAGACACAGGGGACGCCGCGAGGTGAGAGCTTGTCCGCAGAGGTGTCGCGGACAAGCACCAAGCAGCCCCAGACACTAAACCTCGACGCAACACCAGGGGACCCTGTCCAAAGACTGGTCGGTGAAGCCCCTGGCCGAGAGACGCGAGGCCAGAGGTTCAGCTGGTGAGCGGCGTACCGAGCCGCGTAGGGCCACAGAAAATGGGGTGCGCGGGCGTGGATCATGGAGGTGCGGGCAATCTCCATGACCAGGCCTAGCCGGCGCTCAGCAACCCCATTCTGCTGTGGAGAGTCTGGAAGAGTCCAGGACTGGGTGATGCCCTGCTCAGCACAGAATCTGGCGAGAATGCCGGAGCGAAACTCACCCCCACGGTCGGAGTGGAGACAACTGACACGACGACGACGAGTACTCTCGGTGGCGAGCAGCCACCGGATCAGCGTAGAAGTCACGTCGGACTTCTTCGCCAAAGGGAACACGGTGGTGTACCGAGAGTAGTCGTCAACGACCACTAGGAAGAAGCTCTCTCGCTCAGGTCCAAGCCGTGGAGCGGGGCCCCAGACGTCTAAGTGGAGTGTCTCAAAGGGCTCGGAGGCTGGACGAAGGGAGGAGGAGTGAGGAGTGGCGCGCAGCCAACCCTGGACACAAGGACCGCACGGAGGAGCGGGGGACGGCGGGAGCGGCGGGAGGTCGCGGGGGAGGCCTAAGACAAGACGCTGACTGGACATAGCGCAGAGACGAGAGAGGGACGGGTGACCAAGGCGGTGGTGCCAGAGGAGGGCAGGGTGGGACAGCGACCGACACGAGCACGACGCAGCCACTAGACCTGGCACAGCTACCTGACTGGACCTGGCTACCTGGTGGGACGGGGGAACCGGACGGGTGTCGGTGTGGAGGGTGT